AGTGATCTTTAAGTACATTTGGTTGAATTAACATGATCAGTTGCCTTTAAAAGTTTTCGAATTTCTAAGTTTTTGTCATCTTAAATGCCACATTGGTATTTTCCTTTCTTTTTAAACCTTAAATCACATGAGGTAAATGAAGACACCAAATACTGTAAAACTGGCAGATGATAGTCTCAACTCTAGAGGTTCTGCGATTTGTGCCTCCACAATTTGAACTTACTCAAGCTTCAAGCCTGTCAATTGAAAACGTTATTTTTTCAGAAGACTACTTAAAACTTACGGTCATTTTTGACAAGAGTTCATCTATAAAAATGAATTAAGTGGTAGAGCAAAAAAATCTATCAGACAATCAATACATGTTTTAAATAAATAGAGTCTAATTATGATAAGGGCATGAAAAACAGTTCACATAAAACCCATTGGCTATTGCCTGTGGCAGAAATTAGCAGTGAGCAAAAAGCTAAATGTTAAACGTTCATGAAAGAAGACATGAATTGCAAGAACCCTGAATATTCTCTGTACTGAATCTTTTGGCAGAAACCACGCTCTCAATGCGGGAAGGAAGAGGGGAATGGAATATGGTGATTCATATTAAAATATTAGATCAATCACATTTATCTTAAGTTAAATAATAAAAAAAATTCGGGTATATTTATCTTCCATTTCCAAGCAAATAGTTCAGTTTCAATTTTCAGAATGTGCCTAAATAATGAGATGAAACACAAAAAGCTGGAATAACAGTGAAACTCTCTGCAAGACAATATGGAGGGGAAGATATATTAACACCAATACGCTAACCCTAAGACATGCGAAATACAACACTGTTTCTTGGCGGATCACTCCCCATTCCTAACAAATACTAATAGGTTGACACCCCCAAATAGTTAATTGTTTTAAGTGAATTAAATCAGTTTGATCAGAATGTTCTATAAAGACAAGAGGCAACATCTCCACCAGGTCATGCATTCTAAATCAGATTGATCTTTAATTTAAATTTAAAATTTTCAAAAATGAAAAATCAAACCCAAAAAATAACTAATTTATTTGGGTTCTTTAATCATTGTTAAGGATGGTTATAATCTCAAGAAGGACTCGTTGGATATTAATTTCTGTTTTGAGGATTTGGGATTGGTGTAATATCCTTTAATATAGACTCGATTGGTGATTAGTGACTAAGGATGAAAATGCTAGATCAGACCAACTTTTGGCTAAATATATATGAGCCTCCATGATGGCAAGCTGTAGGTTTGAGTCTAACTTAAAATCTATATAAGACTTTTTTTAAAGCTCAAATCATGATTGTTTTAGATGAATGAAATCAGATTGATCAAAATATTCTATAAAAATAGGAGACATTTCCACCGAGTCATTGTAAAACATAATTATCCTACATCCATAACTCAGATTCCAATAGAGCTCTAAGCCTGTGAGAATTCCCATAAACTCTACCATTGGTTTCAGTAAAACCTTTATAATCCATCTGCCATTGGTTTCAACAGTCAACAAATTAAATGAAAGGGACATGTATTAAAGTGGCAAGAGTGGTCCAAGTTGTGCAGTTGCCACAACAATATAATAACCAATATACATGTAATGTAATGAATGATCTGTTGAAAGATTTCCATTCCAATGAGCCAGCAAGTAATTGACTGTTCCTTTGGGGACATGTAATTAATAAAATTGGAATGGTATAGAGAGAACTAGGAATTAATGTTTGCGCCAATTATGACGTTAAATGATAAACAGCAACTCATAGCATGAGCATGTGCCCAACATTAATCACGCTCACTTCTGAATTACTCCCTCCATCCTTATAAATAAAGTATTTTTAATCAAATCACACATATCAATAAAAGTTTGTTATTTAATTGAAATAATATAAAATGAGAATAATTTTTTAATTTTGCCCCTAATAATATCACAATTAATATTATTATAGTAGTGAGTAACGCATACAATTAATATTATTATAGTAGTGAGTAACGCATACAATTAATATCTCCTTATTTTTCAAGATAAGGGTAAAATTGTTTAATTATTTAAAACCATTGACATATCTTATATTGGAAGATACAATAAATTTTTAAAAATCATATTACATATAGGGACGAAGAGACTAAACTTCATAAGCGTTGTAAAAGGTTGACTGCGTAAGATGTCAAATATTAGTGTCTGTTTGCATAGAATTTGAAGTGAGCGTGGCGTGTTATCATGTTGCTGAAAATTGGAAAAAATGGGAATGGAAGCAGAGGATTCAATTCAAAGGAAGACATAAGAGCAAGACGTTTCAAAGATGGCTTATGTTGTTGACCTGACCAGTGTGCCCACGTGGACTTCATGTCCAAGCTTGGACTCTTCTTCATTCCATTTTTCAACACACAGATCTCAGACTCCACACCCACTGATTTCGCCTTCTCTATTTTTAATCTTTTTAAATCTTTTATATCAATTTTAAACAATGTGTAATTAGAAAATTTCGTTTTATTTCTACGAAAAAAAAACTTAAAAGCTTTAAAAAGTTTATACATAATATCTACAATATTAATGTATGGATTTAGTCCAAATCCAAGTCTTCCATTAAAACAGTAGCACCGACAACAGCAAAGAAATCAACGACAGTAAGTAGTTTTTCCTCGAATCGTCAATGATGTAAACGAGCAAACCTATTCTTCAATGATGTTGGCTCTACAATTTATTATTAATCTGATATTTTATATTGACGTTGATATTATAAATTTTACATTTTGGTGTTTAGACAGGGACGAAGCAAGGATTGAAGAATAAAGGGGTCAAAATTAAAAAATATATATACTATAAAATTTTTATAAATTTTATGGAGTTGAAAGTATATGACACCTATATAATACAATTTTTTTTAAAAAAAATTAGGTATCATGGCCCCTGTTGATCCCTCATCCCTCCGCCATTGACTTTAGCAATTTAAATATTGCAACATAATTCTAATTGATAATATATATATATATATATATACATACATGATCGAATCAATATCTACATATAATATAAAAACTTTAACATGAATCATACAAAATGCAGCTCTATATTTCATATAATTAGGAACCATACTATTTTTTTACCTTAAAAAATTTACTCTTATCCCAACGTTAATTAAAAAAAATGTATGTATTGGGTATAATATTAAATATAAAATGGACAATATATATATATATATATATTGTAAATTTGTATGTCCATGTCAATATTCAGTCAGCTAAATGCACGATCCTCCTCCCGCAAAATTCTTCCTTGATTTCGTAGCCAAATTGAGTAGACATTCAGATGCGTGTACATTATATTAATTTGATAGGAGCACTTTCAACTACTAGAATTTGAATTATTAAAATATTGCCACTTGAAATCAATATGGCTTGTTGGCTTTGGTTGGAAATAAGAGCACTCAACATTATTAATAACTTTCAATTTCCTTGGGATTTGTCTAATATTATCATTCTTTCTTGTCAAGTGATTTAGACGTATGCTGATTATTGTCAAATTCTTAAGTTAACTCTTTGAATTTATCATTTTTATGCTTTTAAGTTATAAAATTGTATTAACTCACTTATAAATTCGGATTAGATAAGACTTAGTTAAAGTCGCAAGTTGATTATTCGAGTTTACTGTTTTTACGTTTCTAACTTATAAAATTATGTCAATTCGCACATAAACTCATTGAATAAAATATGTATATAATGCGTAGAACATGGTTCATTGAAAATGTAGCACTTGATCCAATGAAAAATAAAGCTAAAAAAACTATTATTAATAAAAAAGAGAACAAAAAATACAAAAAATAAGCTGCCCTATTTTAAATTTTTTATATTGAACATAATAATCTACAAATAAAGATAGATTTAATTTCAATGATTTATACTTAAAATATATTTAAATTAAATTACGATGACATTTTATATTTTAATTATTTAATCATATACTTTTAAAAGTTACTTATTAATAGAAATAAATACAAGTTTATGATTCAATTTGACATCTTTATCATAAGTTTACTTAAACTCATGGGCTTACCTTGTGTATACTATAGATGCTATTGATTTGTCCAATAGTATATATAAATCATTAATTAATTCAAATCCACCTTTACATGGATAAGTGTGGCTTTAGAATATTTAGATTAAATTCAGAGACCCTGTCTGAAATTGGTGCGAATTTCTTTATCTTGAGGTAGTTTTTTTTTCATGTCAAAACGTATATTCATTCTCTAAATAACTTTTCATAAAAATTAGAGAAAATTTTGTTTAATAAAATGATTTTATCAACATTTTTGTTAATATTACATTAAGCATGGAAAACCTTTTTCGTCAAATTTCTACAAATGACAAGTTAAAATTGGCAACAACAAAAAAACTGGGAAATTGATTTTTTTATAACAATACAAAAATAGTTAACTGTCAGTCTGATATAATATTCTGTAATATTTAGATGTTGGGCAAAAAAAAAAAATTCAAAATGAGGATTTCAAATAGAAATAAATTTTCTTTTTTTAAAATTCAGCCAAAGAAGCTCAATTCAAGAGGTTGACCACGTGCTTCCGTGTTGTTAACAAAGTTATGTAATCGACGTGTTAAAGATTGGTTGCTTTAGCAATTTTCCTGTAAAGTTGGCCAAAAAAAATTCCTGTAAGTAGTTGAAACTTTTCAAAACATTTCAGCCTTATCAAGTCTTACGAGGAGAAAAAAAAAAAAATATTAATCGCTGAACGTCAATGCGTGCACACAGACCCGTATGAAAGTTTATAAATGCTTTGACAATCCAAAACTGACATGTGTATTTGCATATGCAAGATCAATCGTAAACAACTTGATTAATATATTTATTGACTTATATCGTACTTTAACATGATACAAATAACTAAATGTATATGAATGTGAGAATTTTTGCACGGTTCAACTTCGTACGAGCTAAGAACTCTCACATGCGGACTTCTATAAACACCTAAGCATTTAAAAAAAAAAACAAAATAAACAAAGTGGTATATATTATATTGAAGGAATGAAGGAATAAATTAACTAGTGATCTGATAACATGAATATGAATATTTGTGTCCTGAAATTATAGGACTAGTGTCCGACGCCAGGGCCACTGGGACCAGTGGTCTTGATGCCTCCAAGTGTGGCACTGTTTGTGAACTTGTGACCCGCCCCTCCGTCACTTGGACCGGAGCTCTTGATTCCTCCCAAGGCCAGCCAATCAAAGAAGACCACGTCACCCCCGGCCGCCACGGCCTTTCCTGTCTCCGCAGTACTCAGCGGACGGCCTTCTGTCCCCATGTAAACTGAATTCACCAAAATGAGCACAACGAAGAACGTGACCTTAGTACTTCTGAGGAACATGGTCTGCATCGATGAAATTATGTCGATCGAGGTTTCTTTGGCTTTCGAAGCTATAAGAGAGACAGAGAGAAGAATGTATGTGATATGGGTATATAGAGTGACAGGGTTTATATAGGAAGCGAAGAGGAGGGATGGGATGTGTGAGGAAACAACGCGGGAGGGTTCCGAGAATGAAGCAGAGTTGAATATATATATTAAGTAAAGGTGAGAGGGAGAAAGAGAGAAAGAGAAGAGAGGGATTACGTGTTCAAGTTGGGGAGTTGAAAAATGAAAAATGAAAATTGAGGTTTCCCTTGGGGGCTACGTCAGCAGTTAAGTCATGTGAAAGGAAGTCCACTTGTAAATTCATTACTTCATTCAAATCCCTTTGTTCCTTCTTCCACACTTACATTTTTAGAATAATTAATTAATTATTTAAGCCCTATTTGGTATGAGGGAAGAGTTTTTAATAGAATCAAAATCAGAATCAGAATTAAAATCAGAATATATTTGAGTTTTAAAAGTATGCTTGGTATGAAAATGGAATCCTAATATAATTTTAATAAATATATACACTTAAAATAGGAAAAGACCAAAGTATTCTTTTCAAAATTTTGTTTAAAAATAGCCATCCCCATCAATCAAGCACAGCAACCCATCATCAATGACCTCAACATCATCTCTTAGATCAACAATGCTGGCATCTTCTCCGTTAAGGGCTGTGGCCACCACCAACTCCAATGGTCACTCTCAGTTTCAAACTCTAAAGACCTAGAACATGTTTAGCAATTCTCTTTTCTCATCATCATCACCTCTCTCCCTTACAAGGTCACAGTTAATCTTTGTTTTTGCACATCTTCACCTCCAATCTTGGTTGAAGCTTTATCTTCTTATTTGATTTTCTCTATACTAATTTGATCTTCTCCATCAATAGTTACATTTTCTTCAACCATGGTTTCCCTACTCCTACGTCAGCATTGAAATCATCGAATGTTGCAGTGGATATGTCAAACTCCGTTGTCACATCCTCTGGGCCGTTGGTGGTGGTTGTTGCTTGACATTGTAAGTCTGGGACAGTGGCTTGTAGGTAAACAAAAGTTAATGGAGTGATTGTGAATTTTGGTCAAGAAGTAGGTATATTTATGTATGCTTTCCCGAGACTAATGTTGAGACCATTAGAAATAGTTAGAGGAAGGAATTACCCATATGGAAATTGATCAATTTTTAGAGAGAGAATTTTTATAACAGATATAAGGGAAAAATGGTGTAAACGAACCCGGGAAGGTTGTTCCATGAATAATTATGATGGTGAATTTCTAGAAGTGAAATGAACCTTTAGGCAAAAAAAGGATGACTTCTAATGATGTTACATAGGAAATGGAAGAAAAGAAGGAGTAGTACCCTTACTTGTTTCCCTTGAGGTATGTTTTATGAAGTTTGTCTACATATTGGGGACAAATTTCTTAAAAGAAGGTAATATCTTGAATTTTTAGTTCTAGGATTAAGTTAATTAATCAAGGATATCTTAGTAAAAATGAGTGTTAATTAATTCACTTATGGTTAATGATGGCTAATTGGCCTTATGAATTGTGGTTAAAGCCTTTAGAATGGATTTGGGGAGCAGATTGGGTTATTTAAGCCTAAAACATGAGACAGGATTGGGAGGCCCAATTCTATGCCATTTTTTGTGGCAAATTGCTTGAAATTTTAAATCAACACAGAACGACGTTTGTGAGATAGAAGGATAGGAAAGAGAAATAAAGATGGGGACAGAGGAGGACTCCTTTCTACTAGGGCATGAGTTCTTTAGTATGTTGGAGGAGATTTGAGCTCTATTTCATCTTGGCAAGTCTTTCATTTCCTCTTCTCTTACTTTTACATAGTTTTGATTCAAGTTTTGTGGATAAGGGATGCTAGTTTTAGACCTATAGACATTGGGTTCAAACCTACTAGTTCTAATAGGGCTATTGTGATTTGTTTTACTTATTTAAACCTAATTTTGAAGATTTTACAAGGTTATAAGTTTAGGTTTTTAGATGAATCTTAGCCACTTTAAGAAGAAATTTGGATTGTTAGGTGTTGTAATTGTTGATATTGAAGCTAATAGGAGTTAAATAAGGTTAAGAGGAGTTAATAAACCCATTGGTTGTGAGTTTAGACTTGCATTTGGAAATTGCATTTGTTAAAGTGTTGAATTTTGAGTTGGAAGTGATACTTTGGTTGATATTTAGTAATATTGGTTGTTGCTAATTATAGATTGGCAATTGGTACATAGTTGTTGAGCTCATAGCAAGCTTGAAAAGCAAGTTATATCAGGATAACCTTTGAATTCTCAAAGGTTTAAGGTAATTGAGGGATTTTATTGTATGTTATTGCTTGTTAATTAATTATAGGTGTCTGTGAAATTGAAAATATATTTTTATATATCTAAAGGTATTGTATGTTGCTTTAGTTTTAAAATATGAAAGTAGGGCTTTGTTAATAAAAGTAATTTAAAAACTTTGAAAATGAGGATTTCCCTTTTAAATTTGATAAATGTTAATGAAAATGAACATGACGACTATGATATTAGATATGTGCTATGTGATTTAGCATGTGGTATGTTTGCATCATCATATTGATGGCAAGAGTTTGCCTTAGTAATTCATGTCCTCATGGATCACGCCAACAGTGTAAGACCTTGGTGTTTGGTCTATTGTTTACCCTTAAACTCCATCTAGCAATGTTGGTCATAGAGCTTACCCTTAAAACCCAACTAGCGAGGTTGGTAGTAGGGTCTTGTGACACCCTTATGTTTGATATAGGGGAATCCATAGTCTAAGAACGAGCACGGAGCCTTGGCTATATCACTCCTTAAAATTAGAGAGTTTGGACTATCTTGGTTGCATAGGTTTAGCTCTTAATTATTTTGTAGCCCATGTATTTAGTTAGCAATGATAGAGGTTTGGAGATGTGGATTATCATGCATTACTTTAAATTATATGATAATAATATTTATTGTTTTATAATTTCTCACTTTGCATGCCTATGATTGTTTAGAATGCATGAACTATTAAACCAACTATTTTAATGATAACAAAACTAAGAGAAATGAATTTGTTGCTTGTGAAAATTAGAATATCATAAGATAAGTGACAATACATCAAAAAGTGAGCATGGAGAAACAAATTAATGGGAATCAACATGAATATGCTATAATCAAAGAGAATGAATAATCAAGAGAAGAATGTGAAGCTTTTATTAATTATGTTTATTTTTACTTTTCTCTTAGATAAATTTGTAAAAACTAATTTGAGAGCTATATACATGAATTGAAGTAAGAATGTATCATGTAAAAATTCATAAGCTCATTATTCCTTCAAGTCAAAATGTTCCATTCACGCTTGGATATTGGAAGTCCGCACTTGATTGACACACATATGCATGCACCTTTACTTCAAAATGTATTATTGATGCTTGGATGGTAAGTATCCCATGCTTGATAGATTATCTTTTTAAGTGTAAGATCTCCATATACTAAACATCGTTATGACCGTAATCCAAGGTAATCATGGGATTAACCTATAAAGAGATTATTGAGTTTGTAATTTATGAAAATGAAATTTCAAGTTTTCACAGCTTGAAATACCTTAGAAACCATTCATTAACTTCTAATTAAAATAAAATCGTGTTACAGAATCATGAGAGACCTCATAAGAGTAAAAGAAGTTAAAAAAATGGTTGAAAAATCTCAAAATTTTAAAAATAGAGCAGTAGGCTATAGTTCGTGTACCATGTTATAGCTTATCACTTTCTATGCCATATGCCATGGTGTAGGCACTATACATTGCAGTGTCTTGCACACTCATGACAACAATTTTGCTGTCATTTGACAACAGGTCCAAGTAATTTTTTGCGTGTCTCATTTCTCCATTTGATGTCTAAATGAGATGATTTAGGTGTTTATAAAAAGTTTATATCATAATCTAACTAATGACGTGGGTTTTACTTTCAAAATAAGTCACATTAGAAAATTAGACACCTAAACATATTTTCACAATTTTTCTCAACTTTCATAACAAAAGGGAGTTCAAAATCCGATACGAGTGTCAAAAGCTATTATTAACACCCAGACCATATCTATTGGACCTAGAACTACTTGTATAACACACCACATGCATATATACACCACTATATTAAAATTTCACCCCTTTGCCCTTTAATACCAAAAACAAAAGGGAGATGTTTTAGTATTGTATTTCAACATAATATTTACTATTGTAATCAAAAGAACATTTATATACTTGTACTAGTATTTTGACCCTATCTACATTTACAATATATCATAAACCATATCTCAGCCTAAAATACATTGCACACATTTCAAACAACTATATAGTACAAGTGCAAACAAAATACAACCTATTTGACAATATTTAATTTATTACACAAAATAAAATAAATCAAAGAGGCATTACACTATGAATACTCATATTCCTAAGCTTTCGAAGCTTTTTTCCTTTTTTCACTAGAGCTAAAGCCTATAAAATATTAAAAAAGAGTGGTGATTCTAGCCACTTAGTAACTAAGAAAAACCTACCCTATGCAGTTGTATATTAATTGAATAAGCAAACATGATGGAATTAATTTCTCAAAATATGCTCTCACACATGCAACACAAATTGATATTTTTTCATTTGACTCATTCTCATCTCAATCATATGGTTCATTGCCACAAGACACATAAACATGTGACAATAACCCAATTTGTTATCATGACTTGTCACAAACTTAAACAATGACATCATATAATCACATATGCATGATCAAGCCATCCTTATATCCTCCTTATTTCTTTCAACTGAAATCATGAGCTATAACAATTGAATAGGGCTCTATTCGTGTGACTGGGCCTTTTGTTTAAGGAATATAATTTATTTAACGATAAAATAATATGGAATTACACAACTATGTACATCTCATAATTTGTTGTTTATTATCATTTGAAGAGCACATATTCTATCATACACTCTTTCTTTCTTTGTTTTTTAGTTATGGCAAAAAATTACTTAATTTAAATATATTAAAAAGATAATTTTAATTAATTTATGTCTTAAAATTTTATCCTTTTTCACTTATATTAATATATAGCATCAATTATTGTTCAACATTTTTTTTTTTGCATG